AAGCAAAATGGCAAAAACTCGATTGAATGAGTGCTGTGCAACCTAGTTAGATGATGATAGTAAATGACGGTGCATTGAGTTGCGCAACTTTCTGTTATTTTGTGAATTCGAGATTTGACTTGATTTGAGTTTTTTGCCAAATAAAAGTTCGTACGAACAGTTCTGTGTTCGCAATCCAAACCAAATGTTTCACCACTCATACGGGCCTAACACGTTTTGTAACACTCTCTCAAGGGTGCTTTGCGTGAACGAAATATCTGGACAGTTACACCTACACGCTACGTTTCCTTTGTCCAAAGGCTAAAAGGATTTGGCGCTGAGCTTTTTCCTGTTCACTCCCCGTTGCTGTGGTAATCCTGATTAGTTTCTTTTTCCTCCGTTTAATCATATAAAGCAACAGCCGCAATGTTCACAGAAATGTGGTAGCAATAGGCATGGAACGACGGACCTAGTATTCACAAATATATAACAACGAGCCTTAGTGGTTATCGAACAGTGATTGAAATGATGCCTTGAATTCTCGGAAAATCGAACATTTTCTAAACTTGAACTTCATGACTGGTTAAAAGCTTTACCCGAGCAGCTGGGGGAAAATGTATAATTCAGTTTTGCAAAAAGGTTTGGATGACGGTTCACGGTTTTATCCACGCGACTGGAGGAGAAGACGCAACTTTAATTGGATGAACTTTAAACAGCAAAATGTGCACAAGAATAAAATCATCATCGGCGAGTAAAAGAAAGTTGTCGGCTTTAGAAGGGTTACCTTTTTTTTTTGCGTGCTGATCATTGTTTCTTTGGCTAGCACTTTGGGAATTTCGTTAGTTAGCTACTAAATGCAAATGCTGCAGTTCTAAAACCAATGGTGCTAAAGTATTCCCTTCCGCCTACTCCTCGTTACTCGAGGGCAAAATAGCGAGATAACCCTCGGTCGAGGAATTGAATTTTTTATATCAATTCGTCTTTTCTTTTCCCCGATTCAGTACCAAAATCGCATTGATTCCCTTTTTCCCCTTCTCCTTCTGCGGTTCAAAGTGCCCCCCTTCTGCTATCCGGAGGTAACTGATTTTGCAAAATTACCACGTGACATTTAACCACCTTACGCAAATCAATGAGCAACTCACGCGCACATAACATGTGAATGAGCGATACCAATAGTGCGCTCTCGCTCCTTTCGTTTCTCCGAAACGCTGCTAGTCATTTTTGTTTTTTCAGAAATTTTCAGCTTTTTGAAACCCCAACTCAAAAGTTTTTGCTGGTGTGCAAGCCTGCCATGTTCCGAGATCTTCGAGGAACGTACTTTGCATCTTTTTTCTACATTGCTTAACGCGCATTTGTGATTTTTTTCGCTGTTTGTTGGTTTCGCATACTTCTACTCTTCCCAAGCCTGCTGGTCATCCTGAAAGAACAATTGTAGTGTTAAAAACTGAAAAACCCTTGCAAATTTCGCAGTTGCTCCAGATAATTGAAAAATATAAAATATAAAAAAAGAAACATAAATCCCCAGACAAAATTATCTGTTGCTAAAGAATGTTTTTTGCCGTATTTTGCAGCCGGCTTGGTTTGCAGCCCTTAAAAATTCGCTTCTGTTTGTTTTGCTAATTTGATTTGAAGTTTCTGCAAGCTCTCCTCTTTCAAACTCTTTTTCTCCACGCTTATTCGTCTTTATTCGCCACGGAACGTTATTTATTTCTTATATATCAGATGATAATGACTTCCCGTTGAAGGCCTAAAATGGCTGCTGCAACACGAACACTTTCCCGTGTAGCAACGCCAGTGGCACGTTGTCTGGAAGCGAACGGCGTACGTTCAGCAGCACGGGCAATCCAGCATCGCGAGTATACATCAATCGAACACGGCGATAAAGTTAGTCATTTTGCTACCAAACTGCAAAATTCTCGCAATGAAATTGCAACACTGAAATCAGTAGTAACTGCCTTTTCTCCTTGTGTTTTCACAATCGCCAGGCTGACGATTTACATGTCACGATTAAGAGCGCTTACTACTTTTCGAAAGGCATGGATTTTCATGAAACATGAGTAACGCACTGGAATCATAAATAACATCTTGAGCTCATCTTTCAGCAAATCTCCGAGAAAAATCCTGTCATAAGAACAAATTTCGAATACGAAGAAGGTAAGCTTATTACTAATCTTTTAAAATTTCTATTTTCAACCAAAAAGAACACTTCATCTCGTCGTCCAACGTCGATCTTCTAGAAGGTTTGCTAGAAGACAATTGATCTTTATGACTCGTTCGTTGGATTTGATTCGAAACAACTCAAGCGGTATAGTACAAAAATTTTTCAGATAATAAAAGTCCGGGGACGAAGTTCGATGAGAAAGATTTGTATCGTACATTCAAAGGACCACTTGGTTATGAGAAAGCCAGCAGCACCGGCATACTCTGGGAAATGGTGGCAGATTGCATGAAACCATGGCTGTGGGGTCATAAAATACAGGTACAGTGTTCGTTTTCGAAATATTCCCATTTTCGTCCAAACTGGCCACGAGGAAATTTCGATGTTACTGGGGTGCAATGGTGCACTGGTTAAAGCTTAGGCTTCTAAACCATAAGCAGATCCAGGACAGACTTCTACGAAGGGGGAATATGGCGACGAAGGGTGAGGGGGAGAGTGGGACTCCTGGGAGAGGCGACGGGGTGAGGAGCGAATCCCCCTCTCACCTTGGGCCTTTGCAAAAACTAGGAGCAGAGTTATAACACTGCCATTTAGAGTCACTTTAGTTTAGAGTTACTTTAGGTCCTAGTTTTAGCTTTCGACCCGAGCTTTTGTACCACTGATGCTTTTGCTTCCGCGATAAGGATAGGGGGTGAAAGATCTTTCGCTCAACCCCGGTCTGTCCCCGCCCTTTGGGTCCGGCTATATTCTTAAGGCTGACAACCAGCTGTTATCCGCCATCTTGTAGGCATTTGAATGGCAATTTTCTCTTCCCCGCGCTAAACTCGCCAACAAAAAACGGGATATTTTCTGGATGCTCAGTGAAGGTCCGCAAAATTTTAAAAAGCTTTTTAGGCTGCTGTGGAACTTGTACAGTATGCAGCTAGATGTGCATTGAATCAGGCACTATCACGTCCGTATAAAAACGAAACCAAAGTGGAGAAGCTACCAGAAGGATTCGAAAAACTCAAACATTTCTGCGGTATGACAATGAAGATTGAGAATCGCGATGGCTATGAAGAGCGACAAGATAATGTCCGTCCAATGTAAACTCTTGGGTTCTTTGGTCAGCTGAAAACTTCATGTAAATTTTTTGGATTCTTTAGCTGATTGTTTTATCTTCGTGCCCTCTTTCGCTACTCGTTACAGCTGGCAGCTTTTCTATTCTTCGTTTCAGTTTTAAGTCGCTCTCGTCCACCAACAATTTCATACTTACCAGCCAAGTGTGTAAATTTCTGTTGCACAATATCATGTGTGTAATTTGTAAAAGCTCGGGCAACTAATAAAGTTATGCCAATTGTATATCTGTTAGAGCTCGTGCAATTAATAAGGTTATTCCAATTGTACATTTATGAGAACCGGCCATTTAATAAAGTTTTGCGAATTGTACATCTATGAGATGCTTTCGGTCTCTGTGTCTTATAGACAGTCAACCTGCCAAAGTAAAATTAAATTTGGTTAATCGAAAAGAGTAAATCCAACCAAAGGCAGATCCAGGGGAGATGGGGCAGATGGGGGAGGAGGATCCCCTCTCCCCAGCGGCGCAAGCACCAGTACTGCAAAAGCCCAGAACTAAAGTAAACTAAAACCTAAAGTAACTCTAAGTTAAAAGTAACGTTAAATAGCAGTGTTACAGCTCTATTCCTAGTTTTTGTGTAGTTCCAGGGTGGGAGGAGCCACTTCTCCCCACCCCGCCACCCTCTTCTCCCCTCCCGCAGACTGTCTTGGATCCCTCATGAACCAGACAGTTAGACAAAATACCTTTAGATTATGGGAGGTAGTAGGGTAGGC